CTCTCTCCTCTCCTTCCGCTCTCTCCTCTCCTCTCTCCTCATCCTCATCCTCTCCTTCTTCCTCTCGCTCTCCTCTCCTCTCCTCTCCTCTCCTCTCCTCTCTCCATCTCTCCCTCTCTCCTCTCTCCTTTCTCTCCTCTTCCTCTCCTCGTCTCCTCTCTCCTCCTCCTCTCTCGTTATCCTCATCTCCCTCTTTGCTCGCCCTTAACTTGGTCCACTTCATTTGCACGTTTGGGCATATAATTTCAATCACAACAAGCATTCATGTTTTCTTTCTTCTGTCTCTTTTCTCTGCTTCCTGTCTCTTTCTGTTTAGTACCTGCTCTCATGTCTCTCAATCTCTGTTTCTTCCCTTTTTGGCTCTTCTCGCCTTCTTTATTTTGGGCTCTCGCTGTCTCTCCCAATTCTCTGTCTGCTTGTCTTTCTGGCTCTCTTCTTCCAATCTCTGTCTCTTTCTTTCTGGCTCTTCTGTCTCTTATTTTTGGCTCTCTGTCTCTCAATTCTCTTATCGCTCTCTTTCATTTGCTTCTCTGCCTCGGGTCTCTCTTCTCTATGTTTGGTTTAATTCTGATCTGGCCCTGGTAGCTATCTGTCTTTCTGGCCTTTCTCCTCTGATGTCTCTCTGCCTCCTTTCCCCCATTTGTCTCTTCTCTGGCTCCAGTATTTTCCTTCTTTCAAATCACTCCCCCTCTCTTTTTTTCCTTCTCCTTCTCCTTCTCCTTTTCTCCTTTCTCCTTCTCTTCTCCTTCTTTCCTTCTCCTTCTCCTTCTCCTCCTTCTCTTCTCCTTCTTCCTTCTCCTTCTCCTTCTCCTTCTACCTTCTCCTAATCTCCTTCTTCCTTCTCCTCTCCTTCTTCTCCTATCTTCTTCTCTTCTCTCTCTTTCTCTTTCTCTTCTCTTCTCTTCTCCTTCTCTTCTCTTCTCTTCTCCCTTCTCCTCTCCTTCCTCTCCTGTCTCCTCTCCTCTTCCTCTCCTCTACCTCTCCTCTCCTACTCCTCTTCCTCTCTTCTCCTTCTTCTCTTTCTCTTCTCTCCTCTCCGTCTCCTCTCCCTCTCCTCTCCTCTCCTTCTCCTCTCCCTCTCCTCTCCTGCTCCCTCTCCTCTCTTCCTCTCCTCTCCTCTCTCTCCTCTCCTCTCCTCTCCTCTCTTCCTCTCTCCCTCCTCTCTCTCTCCTCTTTCTCCTCTCCCCTCCTTCCTCTCTCCTCTTCCTTCTCCTCTCTCCCTCTTCCTCTCCTCTCTTCCCTCATCCCTCTCCTCTCTCCTCAATCCCTCCCTTCCTCTCTCCCCAATCCTGCCCTTTCCTCTCTCCTCAGCCCTCTCCTTCGCCCCCACTTTCTCCATCCTCTCTCTCTCCCTCTTCCCCCATGATGTCTTTTTCGCCCCAAATCCGCCTTTGCCTTGCCTCGGTCGCCTCTTAACTCCGCCTTTAAACATCAACTCGCGTCAGGTTCTCCTTCTCCTTTCCCTCCCCCTCCTCCCCTTCCTTTCCTTCCCTCCTCCCCTTCGCCCTCTTCCCCTTCGCCCTCTTCTCCTCTCCCTCCCTTCGCCCTCCCTCCTTCTCTCCCTCCTTCCCTCTCTTCGCCCTCTCCCCCTCCCTCTTCCTCCTCCCTCCTCCCTTTCCCTCCTTCCTCCCCTTCGCCCTCTCCCCCTTCCCTCCTCCTCCCCCTCCTTCCTCCCCTGCGCCCTCTCCCCTTCCCTCTTCTCCCCCATGCCACCCCCCGCCCCCTCCCCTTATCCCGTTTCACCCCAACGCAGCACAACGTCCTCTCCCCCCCCCTCCCCCTCCCACCCTCTCCCACCTCCCTCCTGCCATCCATCCTCCCGCTCCTTTTCCCTCTTCCCCATCCACCCCCCTCCCCCTCCCTCATCCCGTTTCACGCCCACGCAGCACGACGTCCTCTCCCCCCCCCCCGTCCCGCCCACGTCGCCCGCGAAGGCGTGGGCGGGAATGGACTCCGAGGCGATCGATGTCAGAGGCGGCGATGCTGACGGAGGGAATTTTCTCTCTCTTTTTCTCTGTTTCTCTTTTTTCTTTTCTTTTTTTTTTTTCTCTCTCTGTCTTTTTTTTTTTCTTTTTTTCTTTTCTGTTTCTTTCCTTTTCTCTTTCTTTTCCTTTTTTTTCTGTTTTTTTTCCGTTCTCTTTTTTTTTTTTTTTCTTTTTTTCTTTTTTTCTGTTTCTCTTTCTCTTTTCTGTTTTTTCGTTCTCTGTCTTTTTTTTTTTTTTCTTTTTTCTTTTTGTTTCTCCTTTCTCTTTTCTCTTTTCTGTTTTTTTCCGTTTCTGTCTTTTTTCCCATTTTTCTTTTTTTTCTTTTCTGTTTTCTCCTTTCTTTCTTTTCTGGCTGTTTTCCCTATTTTTTTTCTTTCCCTTTTCTCCTTTCTTTCTTTCCACTTTTCTCTTTATGGCCATTTTCTTTTCTATTTTCTGTTTCTCTTTCATCTCCCTCTTTCTCGCTCTCCCTCTTCCTCTGTTTCGTTTCGTCTCGTTTCGAAATATCAGAAATTTTGCCTCTTTTTTGTATATAATACTGCGGGGATGTCTGGCGCTGGCTCATGGGCTAGATTTTATTTTCATGTAGAACTCGGGGTCGAGGCGAGTGTTGGTGTCGAGTGTCGAGTGTCGAGTGTCGGGGTCGGGGGGTCGGGGTCGAGTCTCGGGGGGTTCGAGTCTTGGGGGTTCGAGTCGGGGTCGAGTCTCGGGGGGTCGAGTCTCGGGGGTCGAGTCTCGGGGGGTCGAGTCTCTCGGGGGGTCGAGTCTTTTCGAGTCTCGGTCGAGTCTCGGGGTCGAGTCTCGGGGTCGAGTCTCGGGGTCGAGTCTCGGGGGGTCGAGTCTTGTCTTCGATTTGTGAGGATTCGGTGCGTGAGGATTGAGGCTTTATGGGGATTTGTGAGGATTTACTTGCGAGGATTTATGCAAGTGTCTGAGAAATGAGGTTAATGTGAAATGAATTTTTCTTTCACACAAGATACGGGACTCTGCATGTGAGTGATACATGACGCTGGAAATCGCATTTTTTCTCAAGTCTGACTTCGCACAGAAGGAATGATTGACATATTTACCTATAAACTAATTTCAGACTGTAAATAAACAAAAAAATCGGTATTTCTTGCATGCACGGTATTGATTTCTCTTCGTTTAAGTGAATCGTCAGCATCGTCACGTGACCCCGCGCGGAGCATAGACCGAATCCCCCTTTTAACCATTGCATTATCTCTTAACGACGAGATCGAACGAGCCGGGATCCTGGCGCCACCGAAGACCTGCCGCGAGGACCAAGATTCCGACGAGCGACCGGCGGAGGCAGATTAAATCGTTGTGTAGGATTGAATCGGCCCGTGAGAGGAGAGGGGGAGAGGGAGAGAGGGGAGGGGAGAGGGAGAGGGAGGGAGAGGGGAGGGAGAGGGAGGGGAGAGAGGGAGAGGAGGGAGAGGGAGAGAGGAGAGAGGAGGGAGAGAGGAGGGGAGAGGAGAGGGAGAGGGAGAGGGAGAGGGGAGAGGAGAGGAGAGGGAGAAAGGGGGAGAGGGAGGGGAGGAGAGGTGGAGGAGAGCGAGCGACTAGGGCCATTTAAGGTCGGGTGTGTTAACTGCGTTCATATGGCGCTTATGAGCAGGTTACTTGAGAGAAATCCCGGGAATATGTTTTAATGTGGCGGTCTTCGGTCTTCCTCCTCCTTGACTCTCTTTCAGAATCTTCAGTTTAACTCACGATCACGTTATTTCGCAATGTCCCTCGTGCTTTCGTTATTTTCGGTCGTAGTTTTATTGTGTAATGAACAGTCTAAGATTCTAAGGTATCTTGGATTTTAGGATGATTTTTACACATGTTTTATTTGGCAATATCCCTCTTACTTTCACGAGTGCCTTTTCTTCGCCGTCTTAATGATTAATCTATTATATCGGTTCCTAAGTAGCTTATAGATTTTCGGATGATGTATCCTTGCTATCGGTCATGATTCGGGAATACCAATCGATGCAGGATTAGCTCCACTTCCGCCGTGACACTGATGGGGGATTTCGTGCCGGTTGCTCGGTGACGCTCACGCAAAAGGCGTAATATTGTCTGTCAGCTTTAATGCGGCCTCCCTCCTGACTCTGAATGCTTGCTGTTAAGTCTGATGGATCCTACGCCTGTTTCCACCACGGACAGGCCCACGCACACGGACTCTCACTCGCTCTCGCTCTCTGAACTCCGGTGTTCATATAGGTAAATTTGCGGATGGCATAGCCCGGCATGTTGCAAGATGAACGTCAATATATAATGTTATGGACAGACACAAATACAGTAAGTTACATGCAAAGATGAAAGAAAAACAAAGCAAAATAAGAACTGAAAATGATTGAGGTTCCGAAGTTCTTGATAAAGTCGAAGCGTTACGTTCATGTTTCATAATTATTTCATTTCAGTTCTGTTCGGTTTGCGAAGTCTCGCTCCGCCCTGGCATTTTCTCTAGACCCGGGCGAAACTAGACAGATCTAGCTTTTGACTGTTTCATCTTTTTATAATGTTACATCGCTCTCCCCATGTCCAAGTTCCTAAGCTATGGCAGTGCCAGAGAACTTTCCCAGACCTCTAAGTAAATCACCGTTAATGTGATGTAAATGAGTCGCAGCAAATTAGGGTTAGTAGGGGTTGGGAACAGTGTGGAGGTGGGCGTCCTTTGTTCTCCTTCTGGTGGGTGTTAGATGTACAGTTTCTTTGGAGGGGTTTAGTCATGTATTTGTTGTATAGGTTTTAGCTGTAGGCGGTTTTAATCCTGCGGTTGACGCCTTGTTTGCAATTTGCGAGGTAGAAGAAACTAAATGAAACATGAATAATTAATGCCCTAGAGTTGTTGTTTAATTTGGTGTGTTCGGGACAGTTTCGTACATTTTTACGTACTATGTCTAGATTCAGAATATCCATTGCCGAAGGATTCATTTTATCACTACTGAAGTATACATTTTATAATTTATTTTTATGTCTCACGGGCAAACGTAACCCGGTTTATTTCCTCCAAAATCCCAGATGCAACTCTCCGAGGTGATCGCCCGCACGCGACAGTACTTCCAGCAGGTGACGGGCAAGACCGGCCCCATCATCCATTCCGACGTCAACACGGACGTCTTCGAGAAACGATTCCGCGAAGAGAACATCCTGACCGACAACCTCGCCGTCAAGAAGTGGCTGGATAGCATGACCTACGACAAGAAGGGCCTGATCCATCTCTTCTCGTGGTCGGGCCTCATCGACACCAACATCCTGCTGGGCGACCTGTTCCGAGTGCCCAACCTCAACTCGGGTCAGATGGAGCCCCTCATCTCAGCTCTCACGAGGGAGGAGGAGGAGATGTTTAAGAATATGATGCGCAGACTGCACACCATTTTCCAGGTGGGTCGTTATTTATGATAATAGGTTATAGATGTGTTTAAGACTCGCTTTTAGTGATGATGATGGTGCGGTTATATAAGTGAAGACTTGTGTGGTTCTATATGTTTATTTTATGATGTATTAAGACGTTCCTGAAGACATGTTCTGACTTTATTATTTGATGTGTTAGCATGTTCTTAATGAATTGGTGAATTTCAGTATGCTCGCGAGCGTGATGTCCGAGTGATGGTGGACGCCGAGCAGACCTACTTCCAGCCAGCCATTTCCCGTCTTACTTTAGAAATGATGAAAAAGTACAATCAAGAGAAAGCCATTGTATTCAACACTTACCAATGCTACCTTAAGGAAACCTTCAATAATCTCTCCCTCGACCTTGAGCAAGCTTATCGTCAAAACTTTTACTTCGGAGCCAAGCTGGTGCGAGGGGCCTACATGGAGCAGGTGGGTGGAAGCAGCGCGGTTTTTGCTAGTTTAAATATATTTGATTGTCGTAAAAAAGGGCTCGTTATGTATTTACAAAAAAGTTCTTGCAAATAGAGAAGTATTATGAATGACTATATAATACTTAATACTTAATTTATTGATAGTAATAAATATTTTGTAACCAAGGCAGTTGATGCCATCTAATTTAATGGTGACAATTAATGGTTAGCAATCAAGTCGATTCCATAAAATGTCATTGATGGTATTCATTTAGTAATTCAGTTAATTCCACTGATTATTTTTCCCGCAGGAGCGCGCCCGTGCCGAGGAGCTTGGCTACGAAGACCCCATCAACCCTTCCTTCGACGCAACTACCGATATGTACCACCAGTGTCTCGAAGAGAGTCTGAGACGCATCAAAATGAACAAGAATGTTGGGGACTCTCACAAAGTAAGCTTTGAATCCCATGTCTATTTTTTAGCTTGTGGGCTGCCAGGGTCATTGTAGTTGCTTGCCCTGTTTTAATATTTAAGTTTTTGTTACGAGGGTAAGTATAGTATTGAGGGAGCTTTCTTAGATGCAAGAGAATTAAAGGCTTATGCTCCCACATAACCGTGTGAAGAGCAAAGAGGAAAGGTTGTTGTTCATTGGCACTGGTGTAGCATGTGCTTTCATTCCTTTGTCAGTCAGCAATAAAATTAAACCAATGAACTGTATACCAAGGTCAGTGGTTGAGAGTATATTCTGAGGAGGATGGCGAAAGGCATGGTTAAGGGTATTAATGGTGAAACTATTGAATTATTGTCAATCATTGGAAATATAAAGAAGTATTGATAAAAGAAATTGCCTTATCATTCATTTAGATAAACTGTAATAACGTGACACTGTACACTGAATTTATTCAATGTTTAGACAAAGATAGCTCCAGAAATGCTTTGCTACTAAGGGATCAAATGTAAGGACTACCTAATTACATGTATTTCACCCCATTCCTTATTTAAAATAGATGGTCAGAGAGGCCAACATATTGACTTCTTGGTGTCTAAGGGCTTGTGAATTTGTGTAAACAAAATTGATAAAACTTCAGAGGACAGCGCATGTACCTGGTGCCAGTGGATTGAAAGAAATGTCCTTGGAAATAATGATTATGTAATTCCATTACAGATTGCTATCATGGTGGCATCCCACAATGAAGACACGGTGCGCTATACTGTCCAGAAAATGGCAGAGTTTGGCATTCATCCACTCGACCGTGTCATCTGCTTCGGGCAGCTCCTTGGCATGTGCGATCATATCTCCTTGCCTCTTGGTAAGTAGGAGTGTAAACTTCATCTAGCAGTAAAGATTATTGTATAACTTCAGGTTTTTATGCAATGTACAGGCTATATCGAATTTGCAGTAGCCACTCAGTCATTTTTATAATTATTGGTTTGGGTGAGTCGGGCTGTTTCAATTATTTTAGTTCCATTACTCTGAATAATTATATATGATTGTCATATTATGTAGGTTAAATTCAACTGCATACTTACAGGCGACCTTTTCCTTTCACAGGTCAGGCTGGATATTCTGTGTATAAATATGTTCCATATGGTCCAGTGAACGAAGTACTTCCATATTTGTCACGTCGAGCAACAGAAAACAGCTCAATATTGGTAAAGCTCCAGAAAGAAAAGTCACTTTTGCTTCAAGAAATGTGGAGACGCATTAAAAAGGGACACTTTGTTTATCATCCAAAGGGCAATTATATGCCAGTTGGTGCACAAGCATACAAGTGAAGTTGAGATGGGGAATGAAATACAGAGATACAAATTCACACAAAAAATATACATTTTACAGATAATTAGTGATGATGTACTTGATTTTGGAGAAAGGGATAAGTGAAAGATTACCTTTAAACAATAGTAGAGGAAATTTGGTTCCAGGAAGCATTCGCAGGAAATTCAAAAGGGTAATCTCGAGTTACTGTACAGGTGTTCAGGTAGAGGATCATGTTTTTTTCGGAACGGGACTGCATTATTTTCTTTGGAATATATCCTTCCATATGCCAGATAACATTCCTCCTTGATGTGTCACTGTGCAACAGCGTGCTGGAAGTATGTAAGCTATGATGAAAAAAAAAGTTTGCTCTTGTGTTGGGTGTCCAGATCTTTGGTTTAGCATATGAATTTTATTACTAGTTGTGCCAGTCTCACCTGTAAATGAATAAAGAGAGCTATGGCTTAAGATTTGCCACTAAGCATAACCCTGGTACTTAAAGCCTCTATCATGTACAGTATCTCTATGTATAACCTACTTTATAGTATGAGCAAAGACCTAATAGGGTGTATTGATATATATGGCGTATTGGGTTATAATTATTGTGTGTGATCCTTGGCTTGGTGGCTAAAGGGTCAAGCCATACTGCTGGATATGGGTCCAGGTTGTTGTGAATACAGTATTTATACCCGTACTACATATTAGGTTTTTTTGTTCCTCTTACTATGAATGCTAGGGGATTCATTTTCAATGAGCACAGTACTTATATTGAACTGTCTGTCGGAAGTTTTCACGTTTGGTCTTTTAGAGAGAAAAAAATGGTGAAAGATTTAATTAATTATTTGTTACTTGTTTTTTATATACATACCATGTTATGAATGTGTATTATTTGATAATTATTTCAAAAGCGGTTGACATAACAAGTTTATTTGTTAATCTTAATTGTTTGTGATAAATTTGATTTACCATTTATAAATTTTCCCCTTTTGATGTCCTACTTATGTAGGTATACGATGGGGTTTAGAAACTCATTTAATTTCAAGCATTGATTAATTCCATATGTAACAAGGCTGTATGTAAGATAATTCACTCCTTGTCTATTTCTATTGTCATTTACAGGTTTGAATAAAAGATAAATTAATAGTAGAATCACAAGATTACGTGGAACAAATTATAATCTTTTGATTTTGAAATACATTAGATTCGTAAACATAATTTTCGAAAACAAATATTCGAACAGTAACAAAATTAGTTTTTTCACACGACATCGAGGAGACAAAACTACAATGGCTGCTTGGTATGTTTATAGAAAATGACTGTTGCTAACATCACAAATGATCCTTCTAATTAATCAAATGCCAACCTGAATATTATAAACTTGTGTCCTTGAGCATATTGAATGTATCTCAATGAATTCTATGGCCTTTAATCACAACTGGCTTCCAGAGTTATGTATTATTTTGATAGATAAGACCCTTGTATATAAAAAACAATGTTGATTTGTTGTGATGAATAGAATCCATTACTTGCTATGGAGGTTTATTACTTTGTTAGATGAAATTGTAATGGACTTCAATGCTAGCTAATGTGGTTCTTGATATTCAATGGTTACTGTGCCAGCTTATGATAACTGGCTTCAAGTATAACTAGGTATAAATAGTTCTCTTGAAGGGTAAATGTTGTGTGGAAGTGTACAGTATATGCTGAAGTGAAGAAAGTGGAGAGCAATTTTCATTTCAGCGCGGCCGTCTTCGTCAAATTGCGTCTCATTTCATTTTGAGGAATTAATGTAGTTTTCACCATAGTGGTTTACCAAAGGGTATAAATCAAGCACCATCAAAATTTTTATAACGTTTACTCAAACTTCTCTAATTTTTACCAAGTTATCTAAGCACTTGTTTTTTTTCTTTATATATATATACACACTTGAAAAAAAAACGGTTTAAATGGGAGACCAACATAGTATTATTAGTGGCTTCATATACAATTGTACATTAATAAGAGCATGATAGGCAACAAATAGAAAAAAAATATTCTACTGTAAAACCAACAGTGAAAGATATATTTTCAATTTAGGTACAAAAAACGAAATAGTCTGTAGTATCTTTGGCAATGAAGTTATTGAAAAACTATTACTACTCTCTCTCTGCATTTTCGATCAGCAGGTACTGTTTGAAGTCGTCTAGAATATTAAGATTAATTACCTATATGAGCATGTCAAGTTTTGGAGCATGTTGGCATTGCTAGATAGTGCTTGCAGTGATAAATCTATCATTTGCAAAGCTTCCTCTTATTACTGTGTATAAACATGTATGTCCATGAGAAAATGAATAATACAAGATATACAATAAAATGTGTAGACTATACACTATACATTGCTGCATTAGTTGACTTCTATCTAGAATAATTTCGCATTGTGCTTAGTCAGTAAATATGTGGCTATAAAAGAAGAATGAATTATGTTTATCAATACAATTACAAGTGAAAGTATGGTAACTTATTCATTGATTACACTTGATCTGCAGTTTGCTTATATGTAAAACTATTACCTGTACCACTTACAGCACAAGTTACACCTGTTGTTCAGGATACATTTTAGATTATATAGAGACAATATATTATTTGATATAAAATTTCTGTGTTATTGTACCAGGTCTGGATGAGTTTTGGTGGACTGTGGCACAGATAATAGATGCTTTAGGTGCCTTTGTTGATAATAGTGCATAAATGTTGTAAGTAAATGAGATGTATATAGTAATGTGTTTGAAAAGCAGATTTATCCTAAATAATGGTTCTGTGAGAAAGTAAAAAAAAAAAATCACCGATGTACTAGTGTTGTAAAAGAATTTGGGAGTAAATGTCATGCCAAAACTGTACCTTTTCCAGTGTGTAACTGAAATGAGTGGTAAATTTTTTAGGAAAGTGGTGCATCAGACAAAAAAAAGGTTCCAAAAGAGATTATTTAACTTGTGAATCCAGTCCAGTCAGTCTGTATGTTGACTGGCAGAGGTGCAGTTGCTGACACAGACATGGCCATAACCGCCATGCCGTTTATGTCGAGTGATTATAAAAGGTAGACGAAATAAGGAGTTCGGAGCATTGTTTCGACACCAGCAGCCCAGTGTCAGAAGGATTAAGAGTTCAGACTAATTAGAGAATAGGAAGGAATATTTTCCCCTCTGCGAGAGTAAGTTCTTGGGAAGGACATTTAAGGCAGGTTAATTTGGCAGTTGTCACCACCTTGTGTTGATCTGTAAAATTCGTTTGTCAGACTCATTTGTGTCAATTTACAAGATCCTTAAATGATGGATTGGATATGTATGATTGCAGTTTTCATTTAGGCTTTTTATCGAGACAAATAAATATACACGTCTCAACAGCGGCAGTAAGGTTATCGCTTGTGAGAATAATTAACACTTTACTACAAGGAGCAATAATGGTAATGAACAATGAAAATAGGTAAAAAAAAAGTAATTTAATATTATTTCTTATTATCATTATTATTGTTTTTTATAATGATGATAATTTGTGTTTATTTGTGCAAATATTTGTGTACATGTTTTGACTCATTGTCAAAGATTCTGTAACTGCTTCATGTCTTTTCTTCGTCAAAGATCATGAAGAATATAAATATTCCATATTTATTCATATAAATTTCATATGCTTGTGGCTATGTAAACAGGGGAGATTTGCTGGTGTCTAACTGTTCTTTCTGTATATAATATATGTTACGTCAATAAAATTCGAAGCGGTTTTGTTCTTTTCCTTTTGAAAGTCCTTATTTACAAACACTCGTATTTAAAGAAGTGCGTGACTATTTGTATTTTGAAACGGGAGTCATTGTGATAATAGAAATTTAGCATGTAATTTTACTTTCTTACTTTATTTTTAAAAATAATCAAGATACAACAATTTAAGTTGGCTTTTAAGAGTAACTGTACCATAACTGTTCATGCTCTGCTGTTGAACAATCTTTTTCCGTTTATAATTGTTATTTATTTATTATCTTTACAATATACTAACAAATAGCATTATGATTTTTACGGAGTCCATACATGATCTACTTGAAATATTGATTAAGAATTGAAATGTTAAGTCCACAAGGCCGCATTAATACCCAGTAATGGTTCCATTTCTCTAATATTTCTCATGCTCATACACATACTATAGCATACTATACAGTGATCTACTTTTAAGTAAGTACCTCACCTGAATATAATATTTACATTCCAATGTGGACCAGAGATTTATACAAATCTCAAGCAGCCAGGAACGTCATACGTCATGAAAGGTAAAAAAAAAAATATATATAAATTAAGCAGAATCTAATCGAATGCAGTGAAAGGCTAATGGAACTGTAGACAGGATATAAAGATTACCACACTACTGATAACTTCAGGAGTGCGACACAGACCCCTTGTGTTAAGTATGCTATGAGTGTTGAAAGATTTCTGATGACACGGGCACATCCCTGGCACTCGAACTATAACATACTAACTAAGGACAAAGTTACAAAAAGACCATAGCAGTTCAAGTTTTTTTTTATATTGGAGTATATTGCACAAAGATGTACAGTGCAGCATATACTTCAAACGGGAAGGAGGAGGATTGTGAGATGTACAATTTATGCAAGAATGAACTTAAGTGCAGAGACATGTAAAAGGGGAGAGGAGGAGGGGGTTGTGCCACACCTCTCCCAATACTCTTTCTGTCGGTAAATTCCTTACTTTAGTCTATTAAAATGTACAGTATAAAACCTTTACTTGGGTACATCTATACAGGTAACTGGTTGTCAACCTTTGCATTCTGACGACACAGTAAGAACCGAACTTTAAACTCCATCTATATACGAATGCGAATGTATTAGGCATGTTTATGCTTACGTTCCCTTGAAAATGTACAAGGCTACTGTAAGTTACTCTCTTAGAAAACGAGAAACTATAATTAAGAGGAAACTTAATCAATTTAGATTAATTTTCAACTTTTTCTCTAGTTTCCGACTAAACTGGCAACAACTGCAATAAAATACACTGATGCCAAACCTTGTGCAGCATAAATGAAGGCTCGCGGTGACACGCCTTCGAGTCGCGATGCTCGCGTGACAGAACGGGATATAAAGGGAATCTAATCTATAAGCATAATCTCAGGAACACTAACAAACTAGGATGTTATTGGAAATGACACCTGACACAAAAAAATGAAGAATCTGACTTTGGCATCCTATGGAATGGAATGTCCTAAGGGAATTTTTCCTATAGTTCCTCCTAACGAATCGTGATGTATCTGGTATCGTTGGGTTCCTCTCACTCTATAGTTTAATAGAATAAATATATAGAAATCATATAAAAGAGAGCATACGAACACCATGCAGGACAGGCATTGCCGTCTGTCTGACACTTCTGTTGTGAATATGTGGATGATTTTTCGTTTACTTTGGGTGGGTGTTGGCGCCCCCTCTCCACGCCCTCTCCTGCTATCTGGGCCAAGTTTGTCGCTAATGAGGAGGTTGGGAGGTTTCCATGCATAAAAACTACATATTTGCATTGCACGGTGAGAGGAATCCATACCAACATCGTCGCAATCCGTTCGGCAGAATCATTAGAAAAAAATACCTATCAAAAGAAACTTCTCCACTCTAGCATTTCCTACACAAACCTATAATAAGGGTATTGGCGAGGAAGTAAACCTCAAAACTTCCAAGCGATCCATCCTTGTAGTTCACCCTATCCAAACTTCTAAGGGGGAACGGCTTCACCACACATTGCACCCATCAGCTAATCATCATTAACAAATTGCCTATTTCATTGCCTTGTCGAGACTGTAATAAGGGCTCGAAATCGATGTACCCAACTTCTATATCACAAACCCATTAATGAATAGGAGTAAGTAATAATGGCAAGAAAATAAATGTGCTACAGATCAAAGGTCATATAGCACTAAATGAATAGGAAAGACTGAAAGGTAAAATGAAATACATATTGTAGTTCAGAGAGAAATGCTTTAGAAGCTCCAAGTTGGCGGCCATTTTGGTTCTCCAACCCTAACCGTTTGCACGCAACGGTTTCAATTCATTTTGCCGTTCAATTTATGTACGCACGGTGAACTTTGGCTACGTGAACACAGGAATGCTCTTGCAGCGGCGAGAAAAAATGACAAGAAAGCGAGGAGACGAAATAATCGAACAGAACTATAGCAGATGACCTAAGCGAGGAAAAACAAATGAGCCAAAGGGAATTGTATTTAGTCGTGACGTGACGTTAGACACTGGCGACCAGATAATTAGAGCCACTAAGATTTATAAAATAATAATAATAAAAACGGTACCCACGGGAAGTCAGTCAAAATTCAAATCACTTCCGTCATAGGTAGACTGTGTATAATGGAAACGAACGGGGATTACGGACGCAATTCCAGCCAACAGTGACGCTTTTGACTCGCTTGCCATTTCGGATGCACTGGTCAAGAGATCATACGAGGTGAAGATTTACTATGAATGTGCTTTGCAATAACTAAATTATGGAGTTAAATCTGATGGCGATTTAGAATGATTGTTCCAGGAACCGGATAACCACATATTATTATAACAAGATTAATACATTTCCATTATGTTTCATCTCATATTCGATCCTTTTACCTCACAATTTCCTTGATGCTTATGCTCTCCCCAGCAAACGGGACCAATAATGTACCTGTGCTGTTTGCGAAAGAATAAATAAGGGATAAGAATACAAGTACAGCAGCTGTATCCCGATTTTTCGCGGATATAAACGTCCTTTCTGGATAAGGACTCGGGATTCCTAACCTAACCTAAACTAGCCTATCCTTACCTCATGTCCGTACGAATAACTATCATCAATCGGGACAAGCCTGTTATACCAGTAGTCGGTTCGTTCAGAAAATTAGTCTCCACTCGGAATATGGTGTTGGTCATTTCCATTTTTAACCAAATTAGCCTATTCTTCAGGGTTCTCAGAGTATAACACGGCCATTCCTAGATCTGAGACACGCAAGTCAGAGGTCTGCGCTCCCAAGTAAAATGCTTAACGCCCCTGTTAAATACCCACTCTAAAACTCCTCCAAACAACCAGCAGATAAATAAAAAGATAAAAAAATGCAGACTGAGCAGAATTGACCACAATTTCCCCATCACCTTTTAAACTATCGAAAACTTTAATGATTGAACAATGATGCATACAGGTGCAGCACAATAGGTTGGTAGTATGGATATAAAGACTTGAAGCAGAATAGTTATAATATATGTCCGCCACTTATGCTATAGCTTATTACTCATGAATCATTAGGTTATATCTCTTGAAGTTCTTAAAGTTTAGTTATTTTTTTTACTTCACATTTACTTTAATATCATTAGTTACGTTATTGTTTAGTATTCTTTGTCAAAATTAAGTATCTTTCAGTTGCTTATTTTCGAATTATTCAATTATTCACTTTTAAGTACTG